GCCCTTGTTGATCCCCTGTCCCCGCGCCCCGTCACCACCCGTGAGCGCCCACGCCAGGTTTCCCGTGAAGACCACGCCTTTGGAAGCCAGGCTTTCCATCTCAAGCCGCCTCCCTGACGGACTCTTCAACCACCCCTGGAGTTTTTACAACCTTTAGAGGCCAGACTCCCGGGTTCTCTTCCCTTTATTTCCCACAAGTTCGAGCCCCAACCCAACTTCCCTGTCTGTCCTCAGTTTCTTACACACACTCCTGGCGGCGCTGTTCCAGGCCTCAGGACAGTTCTTGATTTCTCAGACCAGCGGCACCACGGGCTCCCGGATTTAGTGGGCTCCCTACCATCTGGAAGATTTAGGGTTGGCTCATTAGGTTATTATTATTTTTTTTAATTAAAACTGATTTGATTAAAAAGAAGAAAGCTTTCTCTGGGCTTGGTGTGCACGCTGGTGACTTGGGGGAGTGGCCTGGGGAGAGTGTGGGGCTTTGTTCAGGATCTTTGGTTGTTCATATATAGGGTGAGCCCCTGGTGAAGCATCAGGCAGCAGTTCATGCAGTAGGGTTAGGATGTGATTAACCATAGATGTGCACATAGTAGGCCTAGTAAATGCCATCACCTGCTGCGTCCCAGAGGCTGGTAGAGATGAGAGGGGTGTGCACATGAATGTATTTGGCCAGTGGGTTCGTGTGCTGTTGTGATTGCTCCCAGCTCCCATGGATAAGGGAGCATTGGCCACTCCTCCAAGTGTGTACTTACTGAATGTGCCAAGTACTGCCCTAGGCTTTGGGAATAACTACATCACTAAACAAATGGGCAAGATCCCTGCGTCACGGTGCTTAGAGACCACTGGGGAAGAGACATTACCAATCAATCCTCAGAGAAATGAGATAAGTGTTCTATAGCCTTGGACTCAAAGTGCAGTCCCCAGACCTTTGCCAGCTCTTGGGATGAAATGCATCACCTTGTTAGGAATGCAGAATCTCAAGCTCCACTTCAGACCCACTGAGTCATCAGAGGCTGCACCATATTCTGGAGAAAAGACACTGGGCCAAGGCTGGAGGCTCAGTTTTAAAAGCTCCCTATTTCAAGAGTGGGACCAGGCTGCAGAACCACACCCTCCTCACCTCTGGAGCTGGGCCCTGTGCCATCAGCTATGCCCCTTGTCTTACTATATCCTTTGCTAAATTGGGAGCTGGAGCAACAGGGACCTGAACTGATTCAGGACTGTCCCAGCACCAAGGACAGGGCAGCACTGAGCAGAGACTCAGAGGCTGCTGCATGAGTTGGCCTTTGGCCCTGTCCTACTCTTCCATGCTGACCCAAATGCTAAGCACCAGGCTTTCCCAAGCTCCTCTGCCCCAGGGCTCCCAGTTTAGTAGGGTCTAGATTAGGTGTGGGAAAAGGTGGGAAGGGATCAGTGTGCCTTGAGTCCAGGGAGAATGTGATTTGCATGTTGCACAAGCCTGATGCACCTCTTTTAGAGACAAGAGTTTAGACCTCTGGGGTGGTGATGCAGGGTGAGAGGGTGGAAAGTGGGCAGCTCATGGAGGAGAAAGGTGCAGGAAACATGAGGTAGGGAAGACAGTCTTTAGAGATAGGGCAGTAGGTCTGCACAGTCTGGTATGAAACACCCTGATTAGACTCCCTCCCCAGCTATTAGCCCCTTTGAGCAAGAGTCAGATCACATTTGCCTGATGGATAGCAGCTCTTCACTTAGTATTTGTTGAATGACTGGCCCACTGAATGAATCCCTAGTGTCTATTGTGCCTGACTTACTGAATAACGACTGGGTTGACAGTACTCTGGCACTTTCCATTCTCACTTGCAATCCTCACAGCGACCTTCAAAAGAGATGAAGGTGAAGGCTACTTCCCCATTTGTCCAATGAGAAAATTGCCCCTCCCTGGGACCCAGCAGGTAGCAAAGATTCAACCTGGTTCTCTAAGGAGCATAGCTCCACAAAGACCAAAATGCAAACGTTTTCTGTTCCAAATGGTGTTACAGCCTCTCCTCCTGCCTCAAAGTTCCTCTTGATAAATTCCTTCCATATCCAAGAAGTTTCCAGGGAAGGAGACGTTCCTTCTCACTCTGCTGAAGCCAGGAAGTGCTTCTTGAGCTCTGAATTTCATTCTTGCCACCATGGCCCTGCAGGTCTCTGTCCCTGGGATCTTGGCACAGTGATGAGGAGGTGGGAAGTGTCTGCATGGAAATGCTAGAAAGGTCAATGAACTGGAAAGTAAAAAAGATTTTATTTTGAAATGCCTCTTTAATGTTCTTCCATTCAATAGCATAGAGGGCTCACTCTGTGCCAGGCCCTGTGCTGGGCTCATACAGATACAAATATGAGACTGTTGATGCCATCGAAGTTCATTATCTGGAAACCTATATGTCATAGAGTGCCCTAAGACTTTTGACACTTGGGTAGATGTTGAAAACACAAAACAAAGCTCTACTCCAATGCTGTCTTTACAAAGCACTAAACACTTTTTTTCTTTTTTGAGTGAAAGTAAAGTTTTATTACAGAAAAGCTCCCCGCTGCAGGGAGGGGACCCAAGTGGATTGCAGCACTAAACACTTTTAATCTAGAAGCAAGATTTCAATATGGAAGTCTTATTTTTCTCCCTCTCTCTCCTTTTTTTGCGGGGGGGGGGGAGAGGGGGGACGATAATCTGAATGGAACTTTCAGAAACGTTAAGGGAATACCCCTTCATTTTTGTAGAAACCTGGAAGTCATCTTTAATCTGAAGTCATGGTTTTTTAACACTTAATTCTTGTTTTTATTGAATTGAAATAAGCATATAATCTAACAGTTCAAATAGCAAGGACAAGGGTTTAATGGGGCCTAACCCAATTTTCAGGACCCTGTTTTGTATCCTAGAACCATCTACTTTCAATTCTTATCTGTCTCTTTTTGAATATACTTCTGTATTTCCATGCTTATACTAGTACTACTCTCTCACAACGGTAATGATTAACTTCCTGTTATGATAGATTGTTATTTACCTCTGAAATCTCTATCCCTTCTCATTCCCACCCAAATCACCAACTTTTGGTTAAAATAATAATTCACATATTATTACCATATAAATATTGTTCTCTGATAGCTGCTAGTGTACCATAACTACAATTCCTTTTGGAGAGAGAGTACAACTTTTCATTTTTCCTGGAGTTCAGTGCCTTATTTTTTCATTTACTTACCTTTCTTTGTACCCATAGCCAAATCTCCCCTAATTTTCACAAGGTCAAACTTATCAGGAAATCTATCATTGCTTGGGTTGTTGTGTTTTTTGTTCCTGGGGGCAGCTCTCCCCTGGCCCTCTGTCCTCCAGCTCCAGCCTGGGCTGATGGCTCTCCATGTCTGCTGCACAGATGTGGACCTTTTTTCCCTTCACTGTTTTCCTTGGAATTCCCTCCATCTCTATCCTGTGTTGGATTCTCTGCTTCTTGAATTCCATATCTTCCTTTTTGCTGGTCTCTTTGTTTCAGTCAAGGTCAGTTTGGGGGGAAATTTTGCACATCTGAAATTAAGATGATTATTTTAGCGTGAGAAGCTAAGTGTGCACTTTGACAATTAAATGGTCGAGTTAAAGCTGTGTTTTTGTAGCCTTATATTCTTTGGGAGTGAGGACTGAGGAAGAGGAGAATGGGAAGTTGTTTCTGGGTTCAGAGTGCACTAACTCCTAGGAAGATGAGAAGGTGGCTCAGTGTTATGGAAATGAGGGGTGCATGTTTTGGTTAGAGGATGAAGGCAGGGGAATGGTTCTGAGTTCTTCATAGGAGTAAGTGAGCAGAGGGGGTTGCTTTCTGATTTGGGGGGGCTTGGAGCACAGGAAGGATGAGTTTTGGCCCAGGATGATGCTGAGCTGGTTAGAGGGGCTGCTGGAGAAAGGCCAAGACCACCCTACACATGGACAACTGAGGTCATAGGGAAGTGATCTTGGCAGGGACACAGGAAGCATAACAGCTGAGAGGCTCCTTCAGGCCATGGGCTTCACCTGGAAGGCAGAAGGCAAAACAAGCAATGTGGACTCTTCACCATAGTGCGTGGGTCGGTTCTAAGCCCATGTGAAGTACCCCTTTGGGAGATCTTAGAAGTATGAGGTGGGGTTGGAGGACAATTTAGCAAGATATAGGGGCTAAAGTAGTCTTCTTTTAAAAGAAAAAAATTCTGGTGACCTCAAGTATTGACTTTAACTTTAAAAAATTATAATGCCATTTAGTATGGGCAGATATAAAATCCTTAGACTTTTATCTCTTAAACTATCTAATAATAGACAAACATGGTAATTGACCATACCTTCGCTACGCTTCCCATGGGCTAATCAGGGTGATATGCAAATCCCCCCCCCCCGGCTGGTGATCGGAGAAGACGGGGCAGGGCAGGGAAGAGGCAGCCGCCGGCAGCCTCCTCTTCCCTGTCCCCACCCTGGCCATTGATCGGTGATTGGAGAACCCCGGGTGGAGCAGGGAAGAGATGGCCACCAGCAGCCACCTCTTCCCTGTCCCCCCACCCCTACCCCCGGCCAGTGCTTGGAGAAGTACCTGTATTTTTTTTTCAAACTACCTGTATTTTTAATAATTTCTTGACATGGTAAAAGAATTTTACATTACAATCCAAGGCTGGTGGGGTGAGGAGAAGGAGCAGCAGAACAATCCAACAAACAAAAAGGGAAACAGAAATGCATGGTGGAAGGGATTTGAAGGGTGGGTAGGGGCATTGCCCAACTCTCAATGCAATTGGTTTGTTACTGAGTACTATTCATGGAAAGACAGCATCCTGACTCCTTCTCTATACAGCATATTGGGAGTAAAAATGATGCATCCAGGTGGAAATATGATTAGGGGTTGGAAGACAGACAGGGAAAGAAGTCAGAAATAGACACTGAGCGAGTCACTGGCTGGCTGGCTGCAAATACTGACTCTCCAGTAGAGATAGAATAAAAAAGTGGGGGATATCTCTGGAAAATTCAAGAGATAAGGGGCAACTCTTCTATGGTTTTGACTTGCCCAGCAGATTTCCACATACACACGTGTACACGCCTATGTTTGCATGCACACACATATACACATAACTGATTGCCCTCCCTAGAAGCACAGAAGAAGAAGCCACCAGAAGAAGAAGCTACTGGCCTTTGGTCCAGGCGCCAGCGCCTGCGGCTGACTGCAGCCCAGGAGTTGGACAAGGCACCCGCCCGAGGTCCCAGGCTGCAGGCACCTGGAGAAGCTGTCAGTCCTGTGGTCCAGGGCGCCAGCGCCTGTGTCCAGGGAAATAGGCTCCCTCTTCTCCTACTGCAGTCATTACTTTAATATTCCCCTTCTGAATTTCTCTCCTGTGCTACAACCCAAATCCACTTTTCATCATAAGGATACGGAATAGAGAGAGCAGTGTTAAAAGCTTACATTTTTAAGCCGGTAAGGTTGGTACTTAAACATATAAATGGAAAACTAGAGTCCTTAAGGTAACAAAGACTACAAAGGACAGGGACAGTGCATGACCTATTATATCCAGCAATCCATATGGGGACTGAAAACTTTGCAATGATGACAATTAGTGAAGATATGAATCAACTAAAATAGTTGACAGGGACAATTCTTCCATCTTTGAAAATATCTACATCAAATCTGTTTAAATAGATTTTCATCTGCATAATATAACACATTCTGACAACATCACCACCACCACCACCACCACCAATGTGGTCAGTGTTGTGCTGATAAATGTTTAATAACTGAGGGACACCCCCCCTACCTGAGTGCACAAATTTTTGTGCACCGGGCTACTAGTGCAACTATAAAACAGAATCTTTATAAATTAAATGCAAACAGCTACAAAATAAACTTTCAAATTCATAATATTAATAAAATATAAAATATTGTTTTACTGAAACCAAATCACTTGCACCTTGAATGTGACCCTGACTGCTCCATCTCAGGTCTTTTGAGTTTGGTCTGCCTGGAGCCATGTGATGAGTAAATTCATCCAACATTTTTTTTTTCTTTTGAATGAACTGCCCACATTCCTTCAGGTAGCAAGTCATGTCATCAACTGGCCCAAACACAGCAGTTCCTTCATTCCACATTGTTTTTAGCCTTATCTCAAGATTAAAGTAGCACTACTTGATAACAAATTCAAATGAGGACTCCAAATATCTGATCTCTGATATTTATGATATCAGGAGGTCATCTAAGTGATCCAGAATGGGCTTATGTGAATGTGTCTTAAGATTTTTATTGCAATGAATACACAACATTTAAATGTGTTCATATTTCCTCCGTGTATACGAATACATTCTTGGACCGCATTTTAAACTAAGCCCTTGAAATTTTAAAAACACTTTTAATCAAAATAACTCTTAAGTTAGTGAAAAATTAAAATTATAGGCTAATTATAAATTAATAAAGGTGAGAACAGTACATATTAAAATCCATAGGATGTGCTCAGAGGAAATTTCACAGCTTCAAATACGCTATTAGAGGGGATCTGGGATAGGGTGGGGAAGCCAATTAAAAGGCTACTGCAGTATCGAAGCAGGAAAGGATGCTGGTCTGGTAGAGGTAGCAGAAGTGATAGAGAAAAGTAGATGTCCAAAGGTAGGAAAACAATCAGTTTCAGAACCCAGAAAAATAAAAGTCACCCCAATTCTATCTACTTAATTACATTATCAAAACCTGATAGAGGGTTGAGCAAACAAAATCTAGCCAGTCTCACATATACAAGAAGATTCAATATCAGCAAATTGATTCTGGTGGTACATTACAAAAAGGCATGATCAAATACAGTTTATCCTGGACTGCAGGGTAGCATTAGAAATGTTAACTCAATGTTATAGATAATGAAATTGGGGCTCATAAAGGCTAAGTGACTTACCAGGTCAAACGCAAAATGACTGATTCAGAACTGGATCCAGGTCCGCCTGACTCCAGTCATCCTCCTTCTCTGAGGAAGAGGCCAGGGAGGTAGAACTTTGGACAGAGAGCTCTAGGTACCAATAAAATTCCTCAGATCATCCCAATATTCCCCAACCACTCACACCCACCGTCTGGATCTGGAAAGGTACCTTTCCAAGCCAAGTGACAGGTTTTGGTTTCCGTTTGCTTTCAGTTTTCCTCTTCCTCCCTCTTACATGCTTCCTGTCTCCCTCCCCTCTCCCTGTACTCTTGTCCTTCCTTCCCTGCCCCTCAATGATTTTGTGGAGACAAAAGCGCCACCAATTGGCCACCCTGTATGCACCTGATTTGATTAGGAAATCAGTGAAATGAAGCCAGGATCCATTTGGATGGTATTTGAGGCCAGGGGTGGCTTCTGGTGATTGAAAGGCACTTGCTCCAGTGGGAACCCAAATGTTTGGTGTGTGAGAGGAAAACTGCTGCATTTTCCACCTCCACTGGGAAGCCCTCGCAGATCCCCCCCCCTTCTTCTTGGAAGCCTTTGGTAACCTTCCTCTGTAGGGGGTTGGGAAAAGGGGTGGGGGGGTGGTTCTAGGTGCAGAGATCCACTCTATAAAAAGGTGGTAGAGGAAAGTGTGCTGGGCTGGGGGTCAGGAAATCTGAGGTCTAGTCCCTGGTCAAACACTTAGGCAAGGCCTTTCTTTTCTGTGTCCACAGCAATTCACAACTCTCTCCAAGCTCCTGGATTGTCCCTCTTCTCAGCTGATGACTCAGAGGTGCATCCGATATTACCCCTGCCCCAAAAGATAATTAGTTTTTTTAATCATGCTTCTATTTTTCTTGCATATATAAACCAAAACAAATATATATTATTTTCTCCTTTAAACACACACACACACACCTGAAAACATGTTTACAATGTTATACATCTTGATTTTTTTTCACTCCACAATATGTCTTGGAGCTCTTTCCAGATGAACACATAAAGAACTTCTTTATTCTATTTTATACAGCATACTATCCCCATACATAGATGTGCTATTATTTAACCAGCCCCCTACTGATAGACACTTACATTGCTTACAACATTTTGACATTCCCAAACCAGCTGCAATGAGACCTTGTGCATACATTTTGTGTGCAAGTAGATCTGCAGGAAAATTCCTAAAGTGCATTTCCACGCAGCCCTGGCCAGGCACCAAGCTCCCTGTGTGTTCATCCTGGCTCTTTTGTCAGCTGTCGTCTTTTATTTCCCAAAGGGACCCTGGAGACTGGACTCAGAATTTCTCCTTTTCACACCTCACTGCCCTCCTCCCAAGTAGTTTTCCCATCAGTATCTCCCCAGGGCTCCTCCCAGGTGTTTGGGCCTCTGGGTCTGGGAAGCCTGGGCACTTGCCACCTCCATCCTAGGTGGGGTCTGTGCCCTGTCCGGGGTGATGGCTCCTTTTCCCTTCTACTTCCAAGGCCTGGGTACCAGTGGCAGGTTTAAGGAGCTAGATCTTTGGATCTCCACCATCAGGCCTCCAGGCCTCCTGCCAAATGCTACCATCTCCCCCTTTTTACCCTTCCCATATAGGCCCCAACTGTGACTTCCTTCTTCTGATCATAGGCTCATGTTCTAAGATTTGCT